CTCCCTCCTGCACATCTGTATAGATAAGCATTTCGGCGCAAAGCAGAACAAGCACAGAAAGGAATGCAGTAGCAGTTAACCAGACACAGACCGAGCTCCCCAACCCCCATGGCAGCGGAGCTGACAATTGATTGTGAGCTGCCCTGGGCCTGCTTTGCCGGGAGGGTGGGGTACAAATTAGATTAATAAATAAATAAATAGATTCTGGTTAAAAACCTGATATCTTTAGATGCGCTACAATTTACAGCAACTCTGTGGTTACTAGGGCCGATTCCCCACAAGCACTGCTCCACGCTCGCTCTTCCCTTTTGCCCCGATGGTACATGTCAATTTCACACAAGCTGCTGCACAGCCGCATTTTGCCCCGGAGCTTTGCGCAATTTCCCCCGCGTCTACTCAATCCTCAAAAAACAGGATTGAGTAGACGCGGGGGAAATCACGCGAAGCTGCGGGGCAAAATGCTGCCGCGCAGCAGCTTGTGTGAAATTGACACGTGTTGTTGTTCAGTCGCACAGTCGAGTCCGACTCTTTGCGACCCCATGGACCAGTGTGGCGCAGCACTTGTGGGAAATTGGTCTGTGACATTTCCAGTTTATATTGGAAGTGATGCCAGTGTGCACTCCCCCCCCTTTCCTGCTGTGGGCACTAGAGGTGCTGGCAGGCAATGCAGCAGGATGCCAGGATGCTGGTATCCCTAGGAACGAGGGTTATATGTTTTTAATTTTCATATCTATAGGGAGGCCCTAAGGGATGCAGAATTTTTGTATGGTAAAAGTGCAGTTGAAAGGGCAAGTAATAAACCCAGCTTGAGTGGTTTTTTTAGACAATGATACTGGATCAGTGATACTGCATTTTAACAGTATCAATGATACTGGTGCTGGAGAAGACTCTTGAGAGTCCCTTGGACTGCACGAAGATCAAATCAGTCAATCCTAAAAGACATAAACCCCGACTGTTCCCTGGAAGGCCAGATAATGAAACTGAAGCTCAAATACGTTGGCCACCCAATGAGAAGGGAGCCCTCACTGGAGAAGACCCTGATGCTGGGAAAGATTGAAGGTCAAAGAAGACGGGGACGGCAAAGGATGAGATGGTTAGACAGTGTCATAGATGCAACGAACATGAAATTGAGCAAACTTCAGAGGACGGTGGAAGACAGGAGGGCCTGGCGTGATCTGGTCCATGGGGTCGCGAAGAGTCGGACTCGACTGTGCAACTGAACAACAACAACTGGATCAAAATCACCTATTAATGTTTTCAAAGAAAGACCATATAAATCAGAAATAAAAATGAGCGTGAAGGTAATATTAAAGCTACAAAACCTCTACCAAGAGAACCAATTATAGCCGTTTATGTAGCCAATGTCATTTTGTTCTAAATTAATCAGACCTAAGCCAGATCAGAGTTATTTCTGTTTTACAGCTCTTGAATCCAGCTCTCGCCGAGTAATTCTCCACTAATGTTTGCTATAAATTAATTTGGCAGCCACTGGGGTGACTTTAGCAGCCATTTCATTGTGCCAGTGTAGATGAATCTCTTCCTGGCTGTAAAGAAAGAAACATTGGAGAAACTGACTGTGGTTTATTTTGTTTCCTTTTCGTCCTTTGTCCCAACAGCGAATAAAACTTTCCCCCCTTCAGATGGTTTCTTTCTTTCTAACTAGGGCTGTTGATTCAGCTTTAAGTATGTCTTGAGAGTTTTCCTTTTAGATGTAGAGAAAAAAAGTCATTTTATTAGCAGTGCTTTCTTACCTATCCAAAATGAGCAGTGTTCGGGTGGAGTTTGGTTCTACAGATCACTTGCATTTTAACTAGTGCAGATTTCCACCAGACGTTATTGAATGGCATCTCCTTTAATGATCCACTGCTAGGCAATCAGGAAGTTTTGGAAGCTTGTTCATTTACACATGGTGGACAGCTGTATGGTAACAGCATCCCGTTTAATTATGGTTTCTCAACAAAGTTCAGGGGAGATCCCCATTATTTTGGTAGTGCGTACAAGAAAAAAATCCTCTTGTCTCTGAAAAAAAAATAGTTCTGTTTACATAATGGAGTCAGTAACAGTAATATAAGAGAAACACAGGTTCATTAAATCTACTAATCTGACAGAAACCGTGAGCACATTCATCAGTGAATTGTGGGTTCTCTTGTGAGAGCCAGTTTGGTGTAGTGGTTAAGTGCACGGACTCTAATCTGGGAGAACCGGGTTTGATCCCCCACTCCTCCACTTCCACCTGGCTGGATGACCTTGGGCAAGCCGTAGTCCTGATAAGAGCTGTACTTGAAAAAGAGCCGTTTCCGTCAGAGCTCTCTGAGCCCCACATACCTCACAGGGTGTCTGTTGTGGGGAGGGGAAGGGAGAGGAGTTTGTAAACTGCTCTGAGACTCCTTTGGGTAGTGAAGGGCTGGGTATGAATACAATCTCTTCTCTTCTTCTTGATGAAAGAATGAGACAAAAGAAAACGCTCATCGGACACGAAGCCTCTGGTTCAAACACACAGAACCCGCCTCTTGGGAGAGCTGATCCTTCAGCAAGCAAGCCTCCTCCCTTGAGTTAGATTCCCATATTTATTGAGGGTAGAGTAATAAATTCCAGCGTTTACACATTGCTAGGATTTTCCACAAACAGCTGCACTTTCGGACTAAATCTCAGTATTTTCCCACTACAGTACCTGGCTGAACAATGACCTTTGGCCCCAGGTGTACTCACGAGTGTACACACCAAGTGATCTTGGCCACGTAGGCATGTGGTGAAATCTGTGGAATGTTCCCTACACTTCTCTGCCCTACTAATGCTTAGGAGGCTAATGAGGCCATGTGAGGCATTTAAGGAGGCCGTGCAACACCTGTTCTTCTCGTCTTCCTTTCCGAGGCATGGTAACCTTCCCCTAGTCCGACCCTAAAAACAGACTGAAAGTTAAGGGATCATGAAGCTCTAGTCTAGAAGGTGTGAATAAACCACCTGTGTGGACGTCATCTCACTGGGAGATTTATAACAGCAGTGGGTTGGGGATTACCGGACATTAGCACAGGGTTTCAAGATATATTTTCTTTCTAGGACAATCCCAGATTTTGCAAGCATGCCCGAGATTCCCTCTTAATGCATGTTCAGGTGATAAAGGGAGATTTGGGGTTGCTTTTAACCCATCAAGACTTGGTGCTTGGAAACGAAGCGTGATTGGTTGGTTACAAGCAATGTTCCCTCTAAGCTGTGGAGTCCTGTGAGCAGAATTTCTGCTCGGTGAGCCACTGGCATTAAAGTTGTGGGCGAGCAATTTGGCTGCTGGATGAATTAGTTTGCTCTGGAGCCCATCTTTTCTGAGCTAAGACAAAAATCTGTGAGCTGGAGGCTAAAAAACTGTGAGCTAGCTCGCACTAACTCAGCTTAGAGGGAACACTGGTTACAAGGAAGGTTTTGTGAATTCACAGCTGCGTGGAGGGGGCATGAGACCGTGTCCTGCTTCTGGGAGGAGTACTGGTGGCATCCTTTGCTTCCCTCTGTGCGTTCTCCCCCATCATTACTCAAAGCAATAGACGTCCACAGTAGCTCATATACCAGAACATGGTTGTATCTAATGTTCCCTCTAAGCTGTGGGGTCTTGTGAGCAAAAATTCTACTTTGTGAGCTACTGGCATTAAAGTTGTGAGCAAGCAATATGGCTACTGCATAAATTAGCTTGCTCTGGAGCCATCCTTCCTGAGCTAAGACAAAAAATGTGTGAGCCAGAGGCTGAAAATCTGTGAGCTAGCTCACACTAACTCAGCTTAGAGGGAACACTGGTTGTATCCAGGGCTTTTTTTGTAGAAAAAGTCCAGCAGGAACTCGTTAGCATAATAGGCCACACCCAGCAGTAAAAACTCATTAGCATATTAGGCCACACCCAGCAGTAAAACTCATTAGCATATTAGGCCACACCCCTGACTGCACCGCTCATTAGCATATTGGGCCGCATTCCCATGTTACCAGAAGTGTGGTCATCCAGCCACACCCACCTTTTGCTTCTTGTTCTGTTTACCTTGTTTGTTGTCAAAACCCAGGGCTTTTTTTGTAGCAGGAACTCCTTTGCATGTTAGGCCACACACCCCTAATGTAGCCAATCCTAATGAGTTTCTGCTGGTGGGTGTGGCCTATTATGCTAATGCGTTCCTGCTGGGTGTGGCCAACTTGGGAGCCAGCCGGACCTCCGTTCCTGTGCGTTCCTGCCGCAAAATAGCCCTGGTTGTATCTCATCTAATGATGGCTAGCATTACCAGACTGCAACCTGGAAATCCGCTTTGAAGCAGCTCCAGTTCCTCTTGCCTGTTCCTTCTACAGTCCCTTTATCCACCCATCCCGAGCTCGCTTGCTGCAGGTAACCTGGGCTCTAGTTGTGGGACAGCAGGCAGGAGAGCTGAAGAAGAAACAAGCAGGAGAAACTGTGGCTACTGCACCTCTCACTTTTTTTTTTAAATTTTAATACAAAAAACACCAAACAACGTGCTAGCTCATCGGAGTACAGTCAAACCATCAAAACATTCAGCCTTCAACAAAGGAAAGAAAGTTGGAAGGTCAAGAAAGAACTAGAAAAAGATAATATCTTTGTATATCGGATTATTTGAAATGATATCCTGTTCAGACAGAAATTGCATTAGTGGAAACCAAGTGGTAACAAAATTATTGTAAGCTTTCTCAGAGTATGGTTGCATAGTGCCGACAAAATAGGACCAAATTCGACTTAACCAAGTATTGATATGGGAAGGTAAAGGATTTTTCCAATGAGCAGCTACAGTATTTCTTGCGGTAGAAAGTAAAATAGAGATTAATTTGTTATGCTCTTGATTTCCTACTGGAGGGGTTTGGTATTCCAATAAAAAGACTTCAGGGAGAAAATTTAATTTTACACCTGTAATTAAAAGTATATTTTTGATGAACCTGTTTCCAAAAAGATTCAATGATTGGGCAAGACCACCATATGTGGAGGAAATCACCTCTCACTTGATTAGTAGCTTTAAAGCTGCATGACAGGCCTCTGGATCACAGCCTGGAAGGACCTTTCTATCTATCTATGAAACGGGATGGAGAAGGAAGCACTTAGTGACTGGTCCTGAACAAAGGAACTCATGGCAACTATTCTGTTTTTGTCTTCAGTTCCAGGGAGGCGTGTGGTCGTTGAGCACAGTCCTGTGTGATGCCTTGATGACAATGGATGTGATGCTGTGCACAGCCTCCATTTTCAATCTCTGTGCAATCAGCGTGGATCGGTAAGCACTCCCACCCAACCTGGCTTGAAAGTGTTAGGATTTCCCATTTTCACTAGATTATTTTAACATTCGGTGTCCATACGGTGAGATAGATCGTCCCCTGCCTTCCTGGCTGTCTCGCACTCAAACCTCGGATTCAAACCAAAGTGTGTCATGTTCAGAGATGAGTCTCACGTTGCACTGGCCTACAGAAAGATTCATATATATATGGGCAGGGGTCATTTCGTAGAAAAAGAGGTGCAGGGGGCTCATTAGCATAACTCATTAGCATAACTTATTCGCATATGCCACACCCCCTGACATCACCGGAAGTGTGCCAGAAGGCAACACCCACCGCTCAGGCTCCACTGGACTGTTTTGGATTGCTAGCTATTGGGGGGGGCGTGCAGATCTGTCCTCGCAGAGGAGGGAGAGCTTGTACCTGAATAAAACTTGGTCTTAAAGGTGCCACTGGACTGTTTACAGGGGTCATTTCGTAGAAAAAGAGGTGCAGGAGCTCATTAGCATAACTCATTGGCATAACTTATTTGCATATGCCTCACCCCCTGACATCACCAGAAGTGTGTCAGAAGGCAACACCCACTGCAATTTACCTGGCAGCTTCTTGCTCCTCGTGGCCCAACTGAGGGCTGCTGGGAGCAGGGGGGTGGGGCTTGTTGCATGTGCCCGCCCCCTGGTCTCTTTACTGCCGGAGCTCTGCTCCTGTGCGCTCCTGCAGGAAATGACCCCTGGGAACTGGTGAGTGGGGACAGGGAGTAGATACAACTGTTCTGTGCTCAGACCACAATGAGTACCCCTGAGTCTCAAATCACCAAACTTATTTTAATCTTGTCTGTCCAGCTCAGCCTCAGTTTAAGGCTCTGTATAGTGATAATTCTACATGTACATATATTAGCTTAAGCAAATACCTGATAGTCAGTGCATTATTTTTTCCTTCTAGGAGACATGGCAGTCTTATCTGAGTCCTTCCTGTAAAGGTCACATAATTAAGTCAGAGTTATAATGTATTTGATTTTGCAGTCCATTTACATTTTGAATTCTCTGCCAGTGTTATGATTTTGAAGGTCATTGAGAGATATACGCCTGATCAGATATGTGAGATCAAACCTACCCTGTGTGGGATGTGCATAGTTCCAAAGACAACGGTCATTACATATTTTTTTGTCCTTTTAATGGCAAAAGCCATGATATACAATCCTGTAAAGTAAAGGTAAAGGTTCCCTTGCTCGAAAGCCAGTCAAATCCGACTCTAGGGTTGCGGTGCACATCTCCGTTTCAAAGCCAAAGAGCCAGCGCTGTCCGAAGACGTTTCCGTGGTCATGTGGCCGGCATGACTAAACACCAGGGCGCACGGAACGCTGTTACCTTCCCACCTATTTATCTACTTGCAATGTCTTGTTTTCGAACTGCTAGGTTGGTAGGAGCTGGAACTAGAGACGGGAGCTCACTCCGTCATGCAGCAACTCGGGTCTTGAACTGCTGAACTACTGACCTTCCACAGCCTGCACTTCAGCGTCTTAACCACTTGAGCCACCGCAGCTCCTGTAGTCAGTTCTCTTCCGTGATGTAGGAATGTTCAGTAGGATTTTTTCTGCATGATATCTGTTACTTTTAAATGGGCTCAGCTAAAATGGATAAGTATAAAAAAAATGGCAAGGGACTTAGTTATCCATCTTATCATGCAATTGAAATGCATAGGTTTGAGAAGAACCTGGGGGGAGTCATCTGGTACATTCGGTAAGTTGGTGAGAGATTTAATTGCATTTGGTTCATAGATATTTCCATAGCTATCTATTGCATGTTGGCAAAAATAACACCCTGGAGGGCATGCTTACTGAGGATTAATAACTGTGTTGCCAGCAGTTTCCGGTGGCTGTTATTAACCCAGGACCTGTACCCTTAATAATTCATTGTTATTCAACATATATCATCTGTCAAGCCAAGTGGGTTTTGTAACATGAGTTTCCCCCCCAGATCCATGGCCGAAAACTAGAAGTTTCCAGGATTCTAGACCAATTTTCAAGGAGCTGCGGTGGCTCAAGTGGTTAAGACGCTGAACTGCAGGCCGGAAGGTCGGTAGTTCAGCAGTTCGAGACCCGACTGCGGCATGATGGAGTGAGCTCTCGTCTCTGGTTCCAGCTCCTGCCAACCTAGCAGTTCGAAAGCAAGAAGTTGCAAGTAGATAAATAGGTACCACTTTGGTGGGAAGGTAACAGCGTTCCGTGCGCCTTGGTGTTTAGTCATGCCAGGCACATGACCATGGAGACGTCTTCGGACAGCGCTGGCTCTTCGGCTTTGAAACGGAGATGAGCACCGCAACCCTAGAGTCGGACTCGACTGGCTTTTGAGCAAGGGAACCTTTACCTTTACCTATAGCATTAGGTTTCCTAGAAAACACTGCTAACTCTTCAGATATATCTAAAATATCCGCACATTTTCTAATAGTAAAACTTCACTGCAACCACTGAGACTTTGGTCTTAACCTCAAAGAGGCGGTGAACATCTGTCTGGGCTTCCAACTTTGGATGGGGACTCACATTACCGAATGGGTCCTCCATGCGAGAAAAAACCCTGCGCATAGAAAGCGAGCATGCAGAGTCCTTTATTCAGGTACAAGCTCTCCCTCCTCTGCGAGGACAGATCTGCACGTTCCCCCCCCCCCCCAATAGCTAGCAATCCAAAACAGACCAGCGGAGCCTGAGCAGTGGGTGTTGCCTTCTGACACACTTCCAGTGATGTCAGGGGGTGTGGCATATGCAAATAAGTTATGCTAATGAGCTCCTGCACCTCTTTTTCTACGGAATGACCCCTGGTTGCAGAGCATTTGAAAGGTTCTAGGTTAGTATCATTAACTAAACTCGCACCGAGTCCCGCAGCTTGACCCTGTTCTCTCTCCCACACCTAGGTTCATTGCTGTCTCCATTCCATTGAACTACAACCGGCGGCAAATTGACCTGCGGCAGCTGATCCTCATCTCCACCACTTGGATCCTGGCTTTTGCTGTGGCTTCCCCGGTCATCTTTGGCCTCAACAATGTTCCCAACCGGGACCCTACTTTGTGTCAGTTGGAAGATAACAACTATGTTGTGTATTCCTCCATTTGTTCTTTCTTCATTCCTTGTCCTGTCATGCTGGTCCTCTACTGCGCCATGTTCCATGGACTCAGGCGCTGGGAGGAGGCCCGAAGGGCCAAGCTGAAGAGCAGCATTTACTTGGGCAGCAGGAAGCTGTATTATCCACCTCCCGTCATTGAGAGGAACCAGACTGAGATTAAGTTGGAGGAACATAACCTGTACGCACACTCTGAGTGTGCTTTTCCCAGGGACTATGTGAACAATGGCATTCAGACTGTGTCCTACCCACACCTCAGGTTTCCGCCACCTGCAGGACTCAAAAGAAAAAGAGCTAAAATCAATGGCCGGGAAAGAAAGGCGATGAAGGTGCTGCCAGTTGTGGTTGGTAAGTGTGACAACAATGGGTGCAGTCAGATGGCGTGTGCTGGGAGCGGTTTAAATTGCTCCGGCCCTGATGCGGGTTTTTTTAACCTGGAGGATCGCGATCACACTCACCGCCTTGCTCCGGATCGCTGCGCAGCCACATCGCTCCCCGCCGTCCACACGCAGGAGCCTGCGTCGGTGTCGTTTTTCTCTCTCTCTCAGTTTGGGCATGCGCACAGGCGGCCATCTGTAGAACTAACATTTTTGCGCGTGCGCAGAACAGCGATTTCCACTTCAACCCGACTGCTGTAACACTTCCCTTTAAACTTTAAAGGAACACCTCCCTTTAAATGTTTACCCCGAAAATGGCCTCCGTGAGATCCCGAACTCGTCTAAACGCTAAAACTAGGCACCGTTTAAACATTGTTTTTAATAACGCGGGAGCAGAGCTCCGTCTATGCGCACACTGCCAATGCTTTAAAAAAATGGGGGGCAAAAAGTGGAACCCTTGGGCAGCTTTCTGAGCCAGTTTGGTGTAGTGGTTAAGTGTGCGGACTCTAATCTGGGAGAACCAGGTTTGATTCCCCACTCCTCCACTTGCACCTGTGATGTGACCTTGGGCCAGTCACAAGCTCTGACACAGCTGTCCTTGAAAAAGAGCAGTTTGTGTCAGAGCTCTCTCAGCCCCACCCACCTCACAGGGTGTCTGTTGTGGGGAGGGGAAGGGAAAGGAGTTTGTAAGCCGCTCTGAGACTCCAAGTGAAGGGCGGGATATAAATCCAATCCCCTCCTCCTCCTCCTCCTCCTTTCTAGCAGGGAGGGGTTTAAACCGGAAGTGGCTTGAGACCGGAGGACGATCACACAGGGGGAAAATGCGGCTGGAAACGGAGAATCAGGAAAACACCACTTTGGAACCTGGTAACAAAATACTCCAGTTTAAAGGGGATTTGAGCTGGAAAGCAGCGGCTGGGGACGGGAGGCAGACGTTGACTGTGTGACCGTGCGTTTAAAATCCATTTCTGAACTGGCACGACACCAGATCAAATGGCGCGTCTGAACGCACCCATTCAGTAGTTAACAGGATCGGGAGTTGCCAGGCTGGTTTCAAGAGGGCTTAGGAGCTGAGGCTAAAAGAAATAGGATACAGCTTTGGGCCGAGGCAGTTTGGAACACTGAGCATACCGTATCTCACCTCTGCATGCATTTGTTGTTATTCTTTGACTTACGATGCCCCCCTCCTTAGAATGCTGGTGGCTGGTTTATTTGAACTTGACCTGAGTACTCTGTATGGCTCTCTGCATCTCACAGACGCTC